TACGACTCAGAGCTCCAAAGTCTCTTACTCTTTGTACATTGTCAAGTTGTGGGTCTTTGTGTTAATCCTCAACCTACTGCAAGAAGAAAGCAAGGGCTGAGTGATACACTGACCTATATGTATAACAATATGTCACGGGGTCTCATTTTATTGCTTTGTTCCTTAGTAGAATAACTGTAGTAGATTTTCCCCTGAGGTCCATAACCTGTCTACTGTCAAGTTCTTGACAACTTTGGAGGTGTCAGGTATGTCTTCCAACTCATGGAGTAGGTCTTAAATCCAGTCAGAAAGTGGTGGGTCACTCCTATAACGTTTGTCCTATAACTAGTATGCCGATATATGTTGCAGGCAGGGTGCTATTATAATGCTCTGGATTTGTAGATTTGTGATATTGATGATTACCTTTCTCTCCTTATAGCATGTACAGTACCTCTTTCATATATATATATATATATATATATATATATATATGGAACACATACAAACACATACATACATACATACATACATACATACATACATACATATGGAAGCCTCTACAGTAGTATATTTTGGTATCGTTTTTGAAAAAGCCTTTAGGTCAGTCATCCTTCTCCATACTTCCTCCTTTACTTTTCTCTACCATTCACCTCCTCATTTAACCCTTCTGTTCTAGTTACTTTTTTTACCTCTCCGTAACACTACATTCCATTTCCTCTTCCTTAGGACACCCCTACTCCCCACTGGTCTATACTATATACCTAATCTCTGTGTTTATTTGGATTATAGCACACATATTGGAAGCTTAAAATTCAACACCCACATTGAAAAGAAAATATATAATATTTGCCATTTTGGGGTCTAAGTTATACCTCACTTGGGATGATTTTACGTTTACCTACAGATTTCATAATTTTATTTTCTTAACAGCAGAACAATATTTCGTTGCATAAATATAGCAAATTTTTTAGATGGACTGGATATCCATCTTTCTTAGCATATAGGCTACCACTTAAATGGAACCTGGCCCTTAGCTTCTTTCTGGAATGAAGTTACATGAAAAATGTACAGATACACTTTACTAGGAAAGCATAGGAAGCTATCCAATCATCCCATGCCAATTTTAACAAAATTCCTGCCTCTAACTTTAACAAAGATCCCATAAAATGGGGATATGAAAGATTTCAGCTGCTTTTGAGGCAGTCAGTAATGAAACAGATTCAGATCAAGGGGAAACCTACGTTATGGAGGACAGGAAAAGGTCTTTATCCTAAACAACTTTCTTAATTTTTGAGACAAATGGGTACTAGTTGTTTAGCAGCTGAGAAGCTACTTTAAAGCTATCTTGCCTAAGAAAGAAGAGCTTCATTAATTGGTAGCACATTTCAAGTGAGGAGGATACTGAGGGTGGAGGGAAGTGGGCTGAGGGGCCGATGGCTCAGCAGCCCTGGCATACTGTCCACCTGCTCAACACTGTAAGACTTGGGTTGTCTGAGGCTGTCTGTCTACCCTGGGTGTTGGGTTAAATGGGAGCTGGCCATTTACAAAGCTGCTCACTACTTCTTCTTTAAACAAACAACCCAAACAAAACCTCTTATGGTCTTTCCTGTTGCCATGTTCTGTTTCTTTTAAATTCCCTTTCTCTCCATATGCTCACTTTTAAACATCAGTTAACTTTCCTGAACTTTCTTGAGTTCCAGGCAGATGCTCCTTGGCAGTGAGCTCTTCCTCTGTATTCTGTGTGCCCTCAGCAAAGCTTCATTCCTGACTTCGCCTGGATATTCTTGTAGTGTTTATCGTCTTTATACCAAGAGAGGTGAATGTCAGATGGATGATTTTTTTCAAACTAGGGGTTCATGCCAGGATCCTACATTCTGTGCCAGGATACATCTTCAGCCTACCTCAGAAGCTAGAAAACTAGGGAGATATAAATATTTGTACATTTTCGAGTTCTAGAAGTACATCGTGTGTGAATTCTTCCCTGCATTATTGGTCTCCTGTGTTGCTGACTTCCTGCTGACTGAGATGCAGAAGCTTGGGCTTCTTGTGCTGTGGAGTGTGCCTGCTCTGGAAGATTCTGATTGTTCCTTTTTCTCTCGGGTGAAGTGTGACTTTGGCTGAGGCCTGATTTCTATGGCAGGGCAACCAGAGGCTCTGCACCACCTGGATCTCTTGATATTGCACTTTCCTGGAAACAAGAGTAGTTAAACATAGTGGAATAAGCCACAATCTCTCTGACAGTCATTTCAGTTTTCGTCTGATTAGAAGGTGTTAGCGTGTAAGGGTCACACAGGTGGTGCCTATAACAGAAATGGGAGCTTGATTCCAGTGCTCACTTTCTGTTCGATTATCCTGTTTGGGGCTTCCGTTTCATTGGTCAGTTCTAAACAAGCTCTCTGCTTGGTTAAGTTTGTACTTAAATCCAGGTCCTGCATGCATCCAGGAGCCATTTAACTATGTTGCAGAGCACTTTCCAGGGTGTGCCTTAAAGCTGTTTGTTTCTCTTTTCTGGAAAGTGTATGAATTACCACTTCTGCACTCTTTCACACAAATGCACAGCAATCCTTCTACAGAAGCATATGGATGTCTTCAATTATACCACATTGTCCTCAAAAAAATTAATGCCACTGTCAAATTGCTTTCTGGTGTGTGACGGGATAGAAGCCTAAAGCCAGGTTGAATTTTTGCTACTACTTCTTGTTATCATTATTAACTATTTTCCTCTCCTTTTTGTTTTATTTTATTCCCATTGGTATTTTGTCTGCATCCATGTCTGTGTGAAGGTGTTGGATTCTCTGGAACCAGAGGTACAGACAGCTGTGAGCTGCCATGTGGGTGCTGAGAAAACCCAGCTCCTATGGAAGAACAACCAGTGCTTTTAACCACTGAGATGTTTCTCCAGTCCTGAATTTTCGCTACTTTTAAAGCAATATCTTTTCTTTTCTCAGACCTTTTCCAGTTCTGTTGTTTTCTTATTTGTTAGAATAAAAAAGTATAATTGTGTATGTTGGATATTTTTCTTTACATTTTTTTGGTCTGGTTTTACTCGATCTGTTCTCACTTGCTTGTCTACAAACATTTTTATTTTTGATTACAGCTGCTTCTGCTGCTTCTATTTAATCCCCTGGAAACTCTTACTAGAAGATGGCACCTTCTGGTTTTATTTTATTAGTCATAGTTCTCCTTTTTCCCACTTTTATCCCTTGCTCTTAGGTTTTAAGGATTAGCTGGGTCCTAACAAACCATTTATACTGAATTTCTGGTAGAATCTCCAAGGCAAGGCAAAATGTTTTTAAAGTTTGAATATTTTTCTCAATTTACTTTTCCAGCTGGGAGCTCAAACAGTTTCTCCATGTTTGAGAGAGAATCAGCATTGGAAGCTGGCTTATCTGGGAGTGTATTTTGCTTAAAAGTGTCTAATCTTAGTAAAAAGTAGCTAGGCTCCTTGAGGAAATCTCTATGTTCCTTGGCAGACAGGGTGTTCACTGAGTGTGAATGATGGGCAGCATTTCATGCCAACATCTTGTCTCTTGTTCTCACTGTCCAGGGTCCTTCCTAGTGCTTTCCACAGTGCTGATGGTTCTTCAGACCCATAGGGACTTCCACAGACTTATCTCTGGATGTTGCACATTACCAGTCAGTACAGTAGAGGCTACCCTCAATTAAATCTTATCTGTATTCTACACGATTGAAATTCTTGAGAGACTTAATCCTTGGAGAACCAATTCTTTTGCACCCCCCTTTCAGGGTCAATGTAGAAATTTTTTTCTCAAAAATTTTATAAATATCCAGGGAATGATAGTGTACAAGTTGCCAAGTACTAGAGTGTTGGAATAGCCAAATGTAAGTTTCCAGATTCAAGGGCAAACTTTGTCAAGTAATCCACCTATTCTGTGTTGCTAATGCAAACTTATGAATGCTTTGATATTAGGCAGGTGAGGCACACTGCATAAACCCATATACAACAGACTCATGATGATGATCTTTATTGTTCTGGGAAGAATTTTCTTGTCTAGTTACCTGTGAGGATCAGAACTTTTGACTAACAATACTGACAGTCATTATATTAAATAGCATTATACAGAATTACCAAGAATTTCATAGTCTATCTATATTATAAATGTCATTTGATCTTTATATCAACTTCCAAGCCTTGTTTTGTGGTGCTCTATTTTATAATCCTCAGAGACATTATCCTAGCTTTCCTGATGTGCAGAGTGGACACTTTGTGAAGCAAAACTCAAATCTTCCTTTGACATTCAAGTCTGTACTGTCTGTGCTCGGACCATTGGCTGTCAATTAACCTGAAGAGGTGCTTGCCACCATAGCTTCTGTTATTCTGCTTTGATCACCTGCAGGCATCTTATCACCATTACCCACATTGCCCTTCTCTCTTCCAGTGATTTTTATGTAAGGAGAATGTGCTTCTTCATTTCTCTTGGACCTTCTAGAATCCTCAGTTTACCAACCATCTTCAGTTTTGACAGCTACATTAATACTCTTCTTCTTAGGTGTATTCTTCCTGTCTACTGTCATAATTTACTTGCATCTGTTTCCACTGGTATCTGTGGCTATAGTGAAACTTTATACCTTTCCATGAGTCTTGAAACATCTGGAGGCAGTGGGGCTATGATTCTATGTGGCCACTATTGTGCAAAGCGCCTTCCCAACAGAGAGAGTCTCAGAGATGTCCGATGGTGTTTGGTGCTGTTCAGACTGCCCTCTAGCATATTAGAGACTAAAAGAGACATATCTGAGAAAAAGAAAATTGTCGGTAATTTAGAACCTTCATAACAATGAATAAATACTAGAAAACGTTGGTTGTAGTCAGGGCCTAGCTAGAGAACATTTTTGTTCTTATTTTATTATTTCATAAATCGCTCTTTTATCAATGTTACTTTTTAAATTTCAGATATATAGGAGTGAAAAACAATATCAAAGACTATAAAACATGTGTCATCCTAGATTTAGAGTTATTCTTTTATTCCTTTATTCTAATGATGTCACCTTGTCCCCTGTAGGTTACGGTCTTTGGTCAAGCAACTAGAGCGAGGAGAGGCCTCTGTGGTAGATCTTAAGAAGAATCTGGAATATGCAGCCACAGTGCTTGAGTCTGTATATATTGATGAAACAAGGTAAGTTAGAAAGGATGCTAAGAAAGTAATGCTACATTTTCTGTCAAACAGTTCCAATCCATCCTGTCACTCTCCTCCCTCCCACAGCCCTCTCCCATGGCAGGTCTGGGAGTGGTTCAGATCTCTGATTCTGAAACATTAGTTTCAACAGACAAATAGGAAAGAACTGGAGCTATCCTTCCCTCAACTATGAGAGGACTAACAGAACTTATTGCACAGATGACTGGGATGACAAAACAATATGTGTAGACAAGGCAGCTCTTAAAGCCTGGCAAGGATTTTCCTGCTGTAGAGTCCCACTGTGGTGTCTCTATGCATCAGATCAGGCTCAGGTGTGTGTTTGAATCCACCCTCTCATTATCAACTGGAGGTTCCCAGAGCGATCCAATCCCCAGTATCTCTCTCTCTCTCTCTCAGCAAACATTGCCACTTAAATTACACAAGTACTATAGCAGTTGTAGGTACTGAAATTGATTTGGAAAGAAATAGAACCACTTTCCTTTTGGAAACTGTTAAAGTGTTGAATGTGAAACTCTAGTGAGCCAGGCTCCTCACTATTTGTGAAGTCTTACTTCACTGAACTCTGATCTGAAAGCATTTCACTACAGTTTACAAGTTGTTGGGCTTATTTTTTTAAGGATACAGTTCATTACTAATTTTAGGAATTTGATATCACACTTTCCCCCCCTTTACTCAGATGAGTACATCTAAACAAAGAACAATAAAAAGCACTGTTATATTGATGTCCACTTTAACTGCTTATTTTCAGCAAGGCTGAAATAGATGACATTCATTTTTTATTGGTTCTATTATAACTACTTTGTTCCTTTCTAGTGCTCTGACATCTGAAGAAGTTAGGCAATTCAGAAAAGTCTATTTACAAATGGCTTATGTCACTGGGCTCAGATGAAGAATTGCATTGTTTGGGAAAGTTTCCTTGAATTTAGAAGTTCATGTTTATTATATCCTACTGGATTAAATGGGCATTCATTGTTATCATTTAAAGTCATTGCTTCAATGTACTTGGTTGTTGTGGTTTGTGTGATAGTTTTCCCCTTTAGGGATTTCTCCCAACACTATCACTGGTTGGGTCTTAGCTTTTTACACTTTTTTTACACTTGTGTTTTGGAGGACAGACTAGATTCATTCAGTCAAAGGAGACCCATCATTATAAGCAACCGTGTCAAAACACTACTGTATGTTACCCTTCTCTCTCTCTCTCTCTCTCTCTCTCTCTCTCTCTCTCTCTCTCTCTCCCTCTCTCTCTCCCTCTCTCTCTCTCTCTCTCTCTCTCTCTCTCTGTCGTCTATATGTGTGTGTCTGTGTTCAGTTTTATATCATGTTTTTGTATCTGCATTTCAGATGGGTAGAGAAAGGCAACTGTTTCAAACAGAAAATTCTAGATTCAGATTTAGATTCAATCTCAGTGCCTTGATTGTGTTTTTTATCTCCAGGCGACTGCTGGATACAGAGGATGAGCTTAGTGACATTCAGTCAGATGCTGTGCCTTCTGAAGTTCGGGATTGGCTGGCCTCCACCTTCACACGGCAGATGGGAATGATGCTTAGGAGAAGTGACGAGAAGCCCAGGTTCAAGAGCATCGTCCACGCAGTGCAAGCTGGGATATTTGTGGAGAGGTAAAGATGAAACTCATTATTATACAAAGGCCAAAACAAAAAGAATACCAGGTCTTATGACTCTTACATCCCAAACATTGCCCAGCTCATGGTATCCCCTCCCACAGCCTATAATGTAATTTTGATAACTTATTATGAAAACTCAAATTTCTGAGTAGAAACAGATATTTAAATCCCCATGACATCATTAGGACAAGGTTTTCCCTTTGTTCAAAATTCCCATCTTAAGACTTAGATTATGTTCAGCCTTATATTTAAAGTCAGAAGTCACCTGATATACATTTTTTCAAATATATATAGATAGCATTGGAATAGACCAGTAGCACACTGAGGTTGCTGACTCAGGGAAGCTAGTTTACTGAAGGGCCCTGAGTTCCATGAAACATAGTTTGCTAGCTTTTTGATGCTGAATTATTCCCTACATGAAATAGAATCATTTCTTCTATCAGTCCCTATTACACAGTTACACATTTTAGAAACCCTATGGTGGTGATTTTGGAAATTTACGTGGGACCTTCCCTTGCTTGTTTTAGAGGTTCTGGAGACAAAAGTTTCTGCTGGGACTTGCACACTGGTTCTTGGTTAATCATGAAGAACAATACTGTGCACTACTCCTGCTGTCCTGTAGCCAGTGCTGCTAGGTCACATGGTCATTTTAGTAATTTAGTGTTTAATATGGGGTACATCAACTTAATTTAATTTTGTTTCCAGTGGATAGCATGTTTGAAGTTGCTTTTTTTTTTTTTTTTGAATTCTTCACTGAGGATACTTGAGTAAGTTTGGAATTTCAAGTTCCTTGGGTCACCAGATTCTCTGGGTGTTTATCACTTGTCATTAAGGATACAACCATTCATTGTAAGCTGTCACATTATGTTTTATCCTCCATCTTTGCCAGAATGTACAGACGGACATCAAACATGGTTGGGTTGAGCTATCCACCAGCTGTAATCGACGCATTGAAGGTAAGACTGATGGGAAGGCTTATGGGTAAGTGGAAATGAATGAATACATAATAAATAATAAATAAATAATAATACAGTTACATTTGTCCTTAGAAAAAATAGAGTTTCATCTCTGCCCTTTTCTGTCATTCCCGCCTTAATCTTTCATTTTTTAATATATTCTAATAGTACTACTGTGTTCTTAGTCTTTAACCTCCTAATTTTTTATTCTAACTAAAACTCTGTGTGGATTTTGATTTTACACAGTGATCCACCATGATGAGATTCACTTAGCAGTAGCCACATAGCAGGTGCATTATAGCAAAACTGTTTAAGCTTAGGAAGAAACCTGTTAGTTGTAATCATATCAGCGTTTGATTACCTGCTCCAAGCTTATTTTGTAAGATTAAATACCTAAACAAACCAAAACCAAACCAAACCAAAAACCAAAAATACACAACCAAGACCCAGAAATTTTAAGAAAAATAAATACAGAGTTAATCAGACATTAGAGTTGAGGCTTGACCACAGTGTTCCTAGCACATGGTGCTTTCTTGGTAAGATTTCAAGATGTGATTGTTTTTGCCAGAGCCCTTGGTCCCTGACTTGCACTGAGCCAAACATTCCATGGGAAGTCACTCATGTATGATCTTGGATTAAGCAGGCTCAACCCTTCACAGTAACCTTCATCCAGGCTTATGTACCTGACTTCTCTAGGCCCAACACAGATGTGTTCCTCGAGGCAATATGGAGTCAGATTCAGAAGTCCAAAGTGTTCTTGGTACACTTAGGTCCCAGGGTGGGGTTGGCTAGGACACAGTGTCTTGGGCTAGTTGTTATTGCTTGCTGTTTGCACTTTGCACCGGTCCATTTGTGCAGCAACATCGCGGAATTCTGACTTCTAGTATTGTCTTTCTCTGAAACATGCACCAAGCATAATCTGATGATGTTTTCAGAAGATAAATTACCCACTCCTGGAAGGAGGAGTGATGAGTGCTTCTTAAATAGCTTGTAAGAAGCAAGCTCCCATGGGGCTGTTCTGATTTTAGTTCATGATTTTCCTTCTTGTTCAAAGACATCCACTGGCTGTGTTTATAGGATTCACAGCTCTCTTTCAACTGTTTTCCTTTCTTTCTCATCCACTCATCTTAAGAGCAGGAAGGATACTGTGAGGAGCCACACACCCATGTGCTAATGGCTTACTCATCAGTGTAGTTTATAGTGAAGTTTCCCAGCTCAGCAGCAGAGCCACTTCCTGAGGCCTGTTCACCCACAATGAAATTGCATTGATTTTCATAATTGAACTGAAACATTCACCATAAATTTTAGGAGCATTAGAAGCCAGTTTAAACCTTTATTTCTGCCGCTGTCACAAACTCAGATAGATTCACTGATAGTGGGCTGTTTATGAGAGTATATCTTCCAAACTGTAGTCTCTCTTTTTTTTTAATGAATAACTGAAAAGTAAAAATTGGAACAACTTGTTATGTGGATAAACAGTTACTTGACACTTAAAGAAAAGAAACTCTCAGAAGTCTATGTGGTCTGAGAGAAAGACACTTGGAGTAGTCAGAGCAGAGGCCAGCTCCTCCAAATGGCTGCCCTTCATGTGTCTGCTGATGTGTGCCTTAAGGCCAAAGCTTTGCCTTTGACCCTGTTGTTGGTCAAAAGGGCTCAAGTCCAATGTGATATCTTTCTAGTTCTCTACACTTGCCTTTATTCGCAAATGGATTGAAGAGCACAGAGATGGAGTCTCTTTCCTTCTTTGTATTTGTGTCTGTTGGAGAAAAGGTTATTTGTACTAAGATGATGGAGTTTATATAGAAATAACTACTGATTTCTTCTATTTCTGAAAAATTCTCAGAGTGAGAGAATCCAGTTGACTAACCGTTGTGTCATGTTGTGCTAACCTTGCAGTTAATGTGCAAACACGGCATAAAATGACATGGAAGTAAGATAATACTTAACATTGATGGTCTAGATTTTGATTGGGTCACATGTCACTCTTGGTACTTTCTCCACTTATATTAGCTTCTAATTTTACTGTATCTCTAGCCTTTGGGCTAGGATTCTAGAGAAACAGAAGTGACCTGTTCTTTAGAAGAACAGATGTCCTGTAATTCAGGAATCATCCCCTGGGTTAAGGTATAAATGGGAGGAAGTGAGCAGTTTCCAATTTTCTGTAGGCTGTACTAACTGGGATGTTCTCTTATCTTGACCAGAATTCTCCCTGGGCAAATTTTGATAAAGAGAAACCATGTTTAAGGCACTTAAATTGAGTTCTCATTAAAATGTAAATTCCAGGCACATGATCCTTCAGAGGCCTACAGCCTCCTCCATTATCACTTTCAGCAAGTCCCTAAGTGGCTTGGAATGAGAACAAAATTCAAGAATAACAGTTACGATTTCCTTGAAATGAACGACCTGAGTGAATACCCACTCCTATACCCATTTCCTGGAGCTGTCAATGTCTTTCTCATGTTTGGTTCAGACCTTGGCTGTGACTCATAGCACTCCAATTATAACACTCAAGCAAAGCTCCAGGTCGTGGGTAAATTTTGGCATCTATGATCTGGATCCTTGAGGATCCTGGGTACTTAAGGTATGTACTCTAGGAATCACAGAGTGGATTCATTGGGTTTACAAGTGTCATCTGTAAGCAATAAGGTCACTTGAGAGGTTGCCAGTGAGATTATTAAGTACTTCTCTCCCAGGCTGTCTTGTATAACACTGGGGAAAGTATAACTTTTCTAGAGTTGGGGGATTTGAGGACTGTGTATTAATACTTCATATCACAGCTTTAATTATTTTAATGGAAGGGTAATTATTACTAAAGGAAGTGAGTCTACCACCAAGTTTAAATAGAAACAATCCAACTGTGATCCTTTGGCATGTTTTTTTTAAACTTTTATATGATTGCTTCTGTCAAGTTTGGCTTCCACGAGAGGCTCTTCAATGGTCTTGAACATGATGGCTGGAAGGGTTAGTGAGACAGGAGCACAGAGATGGGATTTCAGGGCCATCTTAGGATACACTGAGCCTTTCATGCTCCTCATCATTTTCTGATGCCTGAGGTACCATCCAACCCCTGACTTTCAGTTCTTGTGATTTCTTGTGGATCCATGTTATCAAGAGAAAGTCAACCTACATCCTTTAACTAGTAAAGGAATACACATGCTATGATGAGGAAACCCAATGCCTGATGATTTACCTATGATTTAAACACACATTTTTTTTATTATGTCCATACATGGCTGGTATTATTGGGTCAGAAGCACACAGAATCATGGCTGCACTTATTCTCCAGCCAGCATTTGTTCACAAATAGGAACTACATGATGGCACATAAGATGTGTGTCTAGCCCAGTTTTTAAGTTTTCTTCTTTTACCAAAGCACTATACCAATTCCAGAAAAGCCTTTTACTGTTCATAAAATGAATGTTTTCTCTTGGGTTTCAGCTTAGCTATTGAAGCGTAAGTGGCATTCCATTTTTGTGTTCAGTATCATAACATGCTTCTGAACACTTTTAAATGAGTCAACATTGTCAGCTCTGGGCTCTGAGGATGTCATTACATAGGATGCTAGTGGATTGGAGAGAGTTTAGTTGAGCTATGTGCCCTAGCTGGCTTGAACTCAGACTAGTAGCTGATGGGATTGAATGAAAGAGCTTGGGATGAGGCCTCAGTGTGGAAGGCATATGTGTCCTTTCCCATCTGTGTCCCAAGCATCTGCTTCCAAAAAGCCTATGAGGAGTTAGGTAACTGTCGATTTTCTTGTCTGTACAATGTGACCACTAATACCAGCTAAGAATTTTTTGATCAATTAATTATTGTTTTGTTACCAGCCATAATGCCTGTCAATATTTCTGTTAGATAATAAACGTCTTTGATATTTTTTAATAGTAAACGTTCTTGTTCTACCACACTAGAAAGCAACTGAGAGTCTTTAGAGTCTTGAGCTGTTTAATTGCAAGTGTGGGCTATAGGTGCACTCAACGAGGATTAATGAGCAGTTTCTAGGTGATGTGAACTAATAGTGCTTTCTCCTGCTCTGTCCTGTAGGATGTGGACACGTGGTCTTTTGACGTCTTTTCCCTCAATGAGGCCAGTGGAGATCATGCGTTGAAGTTCATTTTCTATGAATTACTCACACGTTATGACCTGATCAGCCGTTTTAAGGTCAGCACCTCATTAAAAAGATAAACTGCATACATGTGTCCATCCTTATGTGACTTCAGTGTCAAGAATAAGGGAATCCTTTTAAGTAGATAGGAAACTGTTATGGGCGACTGTGGATCTCATTCTGGTGAGACTGTAGTTTCTTGTTCCTGGAGGTCTCTTTCCTTTCATACTGACTGGTGAATCTTGCTAGAAGGCAGAGACTGAAGACCCATTTTCTTAGAGGCAGTGCCTGCAATAGCTGAGTCTCCCAGAGGTGCTGCCTGCCAACCTCATTTCGTTACAAATATGTGCACTACTGATGAGTCTTAGCAGAAAGATAGCAATGGAGACAGAGTAAGTTCAACAGCTTCTGTAAACTTTCCCCCACTTCATGCCTCATTCACACAAAATTCCCACTTATCATCTGTGACAAAGCACTGGTATTTCCCAGCTACCCATGCTTCAGATAATTCCTTGCTTTAAATAACAAGAATAAATCATCTTCAGGGCCAAGGGAACCTCTATCCAGTTGATCTTCTCAGGCTTCATGCATCGTGTGGATGAGTCTCTGGAAAATTCAGGTTGTTTCATACACAAATGTATAATCTGTAGACAGAGAACATCTTTCACATAAGGGCTTTATTGAAGCATGTGCTTTCTACATGACCATAAATAACTTATAGCAGTGTTGTTTGTCCTTCACTGTGCCTACATCAGAAGCCTTCAGGAAAACATAGGTGCTGGGAACACTTTTCTCAGAATAAAGGCTGTATGTACCTGCATAACACCTCTTCTCTTTTGGGATTGAATTAGAAATAAATGACAAAGAAATATGGTACTTTAGGAGTCACCAATAATAGGATTGCATACATGCACCTCAACCCCCCCCCCCGTTTATATTTTAAACAAAATTTATATTTTAAACAAATGAGATGAATCTGTATAGTTATTTGGCAGATTGTAAGACTGACTGTTCTTCACCCAGAGACCTAGTGTTAGACTTCAAAGTATCCAACAGTTGTACCAGGGAATTGTATTAACTATGAAACATTGTAGCATCCTCCTCTGATCTACAACAGCCCTCAAACTAAGCAAGGCAGAGACCTTAGTGTTTCTCATAAGATAATCCTGTCTTTAGTAAATAAAGTTTACTGTTCTCTTTCAGATACCCATTTCTGCACTTGTCTCATTTGTGGAGGCCCTCGAAGTGGGTTACAGCAAGCACAAAAATCCTTACCATAACCTGATGCATGCCGCTGATGTCACACAGACTGTGCATTACCTCCTTTATAAGACAGGAGTAGCAGTAAGTACAGACAGGGACTGTCATTTGTGTTGGAGGGTGTTCCAGCTGTTACAAGGGTGAGCCCGAAGTGAATGCATTGCCTTGTGAAATCCATATTTCTCAACATCTCCTGATCACTATGGAGAGCCTGGGGGTTCTCTGAAGTGCTCCCCTGATCACTGTGTTGACCCTTGGGGTTCTCGTGAGATATCCTTCCTTATTCTGGGCCCATTAAAATAGATCATGCCCAATTAAAAAATATTTACTAGAACTAAGTACATATTTCCACATATAGAGGTAATCATTTTGACTCACGGCAACTGTCAATTAACAATGATATTCACTGATTCTGAAATCATATTCAGTAGATTTGTCCACCATTACTCCAACTCACACTTGATTTAAACTACTAGGTCTTTTTCAGAAGCACTTTGGTTATTTCCATCTTATGTATTTTTTTTAAAATGTAAGAGTCAATCTTTACTTCAAATCATTTGAAATATTATTATGATTCTACTTTTCAGCTCTTTAAATGGATTCAGATGCCTTTTCTGCAATGTATTTTATTAACGAGCTTGTTCAAGTTTGCTTGCGCTTTTGACTTCTTAACTTGTATTTTGTTTCTTTGTTTATTGTATGTGAGTATGAGAGAGCTCTTATATGCTACACTAGGCATGTAGATGCCAGAAGACAACTAAAGCAATCAGTTATCTCTTCTACCTTGCAGAGGCCAGGGGCTGAACTTAGCTTGTAAGGCTCATCGGGAAGCGCCTTTGTCTACTGAATGATCTGACCAGCCTACTTTGCTTTCTTTACCTTCATCTAAGCCACCGAGTGTAATGTTCGTAGATCTGGTGGTAAAAAGAAAACTCCCAAACAATGAACAAATAAAATAGCTTTCCACGCCTTTCTACACTGAGATTACCTTTAGAACACCTAGAGAAATTATTTTTTTCACATCTGTTTGAATTTATAATGTGCCGAATGTTTTTTTTTTTCTGCAGTTTGCACTGGGGCATCTTTTTCTCCTGTGGAGTCCTCTCCTCTGGCTTAGGAATGAACAGTTTGTTTCCTGTCACTGAGGGTCATCTTAGTGTGACATCGGTTAATGTGAGCATGAGTGCTGTATGTTTGACGCGTGTCTTGTTAACTTGGGTATGTCCAGCAACTAGGAATCTGCATGTAACCCCATACGCTCTCGTGTGCTGGCTGCACCTTTGAGCACACACAGCAAAACCTGAGCATTGCTTGTGTGTCAGTGACCACAAGTCCAGCCCCGCTGTTTGGACTTGAGCACAGCTTCTGACTCCACCGGTATTCATTCTTGGACTATTCTATGGACTGAGTATTTTTCTACAGATAGAAAAAGTAACATAACAAAACAAACAGAATAATAGTCACAGGAATGGCACTCACAGCCCTGTTAGCAGGATACCTTTCAAATGCTGGTAGCTCATTGGGTATGCACACAATTGACAGCCTGGGACATTTGTGAATGTTTCCAAGGTGAAAACAAACAAAGATTTGAACCTCTTGATTTACATGGTCTTCTGGGGCAAGAGAATGGCAATCTATTTTCACAGGTCTCTTCCGGCCTGTGAAAGTAAGACTTTTTGGGCCTGACAATCAGCCAGAGCCTAATGCACATATGTCATCTCTGTACAGTGGCTTGTAGTAGCTCACTGAATTAAATTTGGAAAAGAGGGGAAGGAGTAGGCTTTGGGGCTGGATACACTAGATATAAGTCCCTGCTGAATTATTATTAGATATTGTGACCTGTGATAAATCACTTGAGTCTCTGTACCCAGATTTCCTCTCTTCCGAAATGTGAGAAAGATTTTATCTTAAAGATGGCGACAAAGAAAATATCAAAGCTATTGAATGTTTTCTCCTTCAACTTAGAATGTATTAATACCAGATTATTGTAGAATTTCCCTCAAACCTATTATCATATTGTAGTTTTTATTATATGGCTCATTTTAGAAAGATACTATTTAAGAAGCCATTACAAAATCAGGGAACTTGTTTGTTGTAATAATAGAGTTTCTACTCAGACCAACAATCATACAAAATGATAATTCCATGAACACATGGAGGAAAACAGAGGTGTCTACACCAAAACAGACTCACGATGATGTGGACTGAAGCAGAAGAAGATACACTAAGTAAGACCTGTGAAGACATGGACTGACACAGAGCTGTACTTACTGAGACCCATGATTAAAAACTGTACAATCATCTATAAAGAATTCCAAAACTGATACAAGGAAACTGTAAAACTCCAAGCACTCAAACCTAACGTTTAAATGGATGGAGTAATATATTGTGCATTAAACGGGGCACCATTATATTGTATGGATGGCAATTTTCCCGAAAATAATAAATACCAGTCTAATTTTAAAAATTAATGTGTAACTTGATAACCCAAGTCTGAAATTCATATAAAATGTGTATTTGCTCTAGTAGAAGAATGTGGCTTCAAAAAGAAATTGTATGTAACAGGAAGGTAGTTCTTATTTTACTAATGTTAAAATACATGCTAAGCTCTAGAAATAAAATAGGTGATTTTAATGAAAACAATGAGAAATACAACAATGGATTTTCAGTTTCAAACCATACACTCAAAGGTTTATTGAGCACTTACTATGGTAAGCTGCTACTTGGTTAAGCCATCCCACAGTGAGAGCATCAGGGGATGAGGACTTGAAGAAGTAATGGGATAATAGGACAGAGCTCACACAGATAGAGTTGGTGTCCTTTAAATGGAGATCCAGAGCTCACTTCTTCCTTTCTGGACCCTTGCTCTTCTACTAAGGGCACAGCTTTGTCCTGCTACATGTTATATTACTAATGCTAACCAACTGTCTATCCATCAGTCATGGGCTCAAACCTTCAAAATCATGAGTCGAAATCAAACTTTTCTCTTTCCATGATGACTTATCTTGGGTACTTGTCACAGTAATGGAAAGCTAGAACAAGTAAATGTCTAGGCAAACATACCTTGCCATGTACAATAAAATATACTTTCCTGTAAATTGGTTCTCAGCCTGAGGACATTTGCTTCTATTCCTGATAAATACGTTTCTGTGCTATTTTGTTAGGTTATGGTGGCCCTGGACAACTAATACAGCGGCACAGCCAAGCTGGTCTCAGATCTGACTTTTTTTTTAATTTATTGTTTTTTTTTAAATTTTATGTGTATGAATGTTTGACTGCATGCCTGGTCCCATGTTTGGCCATCTAATAGAGGGTTTTATACTCCGTGGAACCAGAGTAATAGAGAACTATGAATTGCCATGTGGGTGCTGTGAACAGAACCCAGGTCCTCTGCAAAAGTATCAAGGACTCTCTAATCCCCCGGGTCTGACTTCTGTGGTCATGCATTGAAGTGTTTGACCATAATTCTCCAGTTATCTTTGATGAAAGAGAACTCCTCCTACCTCATAATCCTCATGGGTATGTACTTGAAGGTAATGTAGTGTAGGCTGAAGCAGAAGCAGAGTAGTGCCCTGAGCTCACTTGTCAGCATAGTCTTAGTACCTATCATGCATAGTATCCCATGGGATGTAAATATGAATCAAACACTTTCATCAGCTGTAAAGAAACTGAAACATTTATGTTAATACAAGTTATCACTAACTTGCATTGATGGCATCACATCCAATGATGTGCTGTGCTCGTTTATTGGCAGTGTATGCTTGTATGCACAAGTGTGTGTGTGCAGGGGCACGTGTGTGTATGAGCATGCGGAAGACAGAAGACAACCTCAGGTGTTCTTCATTGGGTTCCATCTACCTTGTTTTTAAGACAGAATCTCTTGCTGACAATTAGGCTAACTTGGCTGTCCAGTGAGCCCCACGGATCTGTATGTTCCCGTCTCTCTAGGCCTGGGATTACAGTCACCGCACATGGCTTTTCATACGGGTGCTGGGGGTGGAACTCAAGTCTTCGTGTTTATTACAAACACTATCTACTCATCCTTCTTTCTGTGACCTCCTGCTTGCCTCTCGCCCTCTCTCTCTCTCTCTCTTTCTCTCTCTCTCTCTCTCTCTCTCTCTCTCTCTCTCTCTCTCTCTCTGTGTTGGTGTGGTATATCCATGAGATGTTTTCCAGCTATCTATTTTGTGTTGGTTTGTGAAAAAGCAATAGAACAATAATGTAAAAATAGCAGCTGTTGTTCACACAGCAGACTCACAACTTACTTAGAGTAATGTATCCTGTAGAAGTGGGAATTGACTCATGTCCATTTCCTTCAGATTCCCTCTGTTGTATACAATTCTTCCCACCCACCCACATGCCTAAGCACACAGCTTGCTTTTCTGAGCCACACATACCGCAGTCCAAAATACACCACCTCCAGGTGTCAAGGCAGCTCTGCCAGTAAATTGTCTGACAGATGAATTTGGAAGGCAAGAAAATATTACAGTCAGGTAATTCTGGGATAAAACTGCCTGTGGAACTTAAATTTTTGATCGCTTAAATTTTGACTTAAAACCTCTGCATTTACATTCCTTAAGTTGCAAAAGACAAGGAAATTTGAGCCATAAATGAATCCCAATTTTTCTCAAAATGTCTTCTTCCATCTTTTCCATTTTTACCTTTACCAAGGATGCTGTCTGTTTCTACACAGGGAGTGTTTATGGCGCAGTGTTGGGAGGCCAGGTATAATGTATTGTTCTCTTGACTATAACTTCTTTTTATCCATACCTACCACAACTCAGTTCTACGTCCCATGGCTTCTACCTCTATGCTATTTATACATGCTGTAAGAACCTCTCATCCTTCCTCTCTATTCAGACAAGTACTCTTCCTACAGTGTTAGGCTGGCTCTGCTACTCTCTATGAGACATAACCACTACTGCCTATTGAGTTGGTTTGCAGTCCTCATTCACTCTGGCTTTTATGCTTGATGTTTCAGATCCTCCAGTCTGCCCTGATTTCCACTCAGGCCAGGGACTCATTTCGTTACTCAAGATGGACAGGTTTGCTGAAAACCCTCCTCCACTCTCCCATCACTGAGACTCATCTTTGATGTCTGGACTCTGTGAAACTGTTTTATGTGCCTCCCACTTTCTTCCAGATATCATTTTCCCTGCTTCTTATCCCCAAGCCAGTAAACATACTGATCATTACAGGCTTTAAAAAGAGTTTCAAAAGTACAGTTTAGGTTTTGCTGTGTGCTTGTTTGATCCCTTGCTGTTTGGGTTTATTAGAAGCTAACTGATAACTAAGAATAGCTGATGGTATGTCTGTGTGGGGAGGAAGTGTGCCTGGTATTTGTAATGTGGGAACTATTTTTTTGCAGGCTTTCTGCTTCCTGGACTACTAATGTTCTGTGATTTGGATTTGCTTAGGCGCTATGCTTATTCCCATCCACCATCATATTTTAAATTATGACATTGACTTTGTGCGGCTCTAGAGCAAGACTTGTATACAGGGAATGGCTCAAAAGCAGATACGTGACTATAGGGTGGAAGGGAAGAATGGCATCAGTATGGAGAAGTACAGAGGTGTAAGCCCATAATTCTAGCACTCAGAAGGCTAAGAAAGAAAGATTTCTGTGAGTTCAGAGCCAGACTAGATGACATAGTGAGTTTTAAGCTATAGTGTGAGACCCTTTATCAAGAAAAAAAAAGAAAGAAAAAAGAAATATAATATATATGGACGATATCAAAGACAAATGTGGTATGATATTTAACATATACCAATTTACACAAAATTAAATGAATATAGAATATAAACAAAGGAAATTTAACCTAAAGATTATAGGTAAAAATTCTGAAGACATATTTTATGGCTTGTCATATGGCCAACTATGCGACTTTCAGTGGATCTGCTGGCCTTGTTTTCTCAATCGGTAAAATGAGGTTAACAGCTGTTCAGTTTGTTTCTTCATGGATGTGTGAAAGATACATGAGTTTCTACATCTAAAAAGAGCATATGGGGGCCTGAGAGATGGCTCAGTGGTGAAGAGAATGGGCTTCTCTTCCAGAAGATCCAGGCTATTCCCAGCATCTGTATGATGGCTCACAATCTCTGTAACTCCAGTTTCAGTCAATCTGATGGCCTCTTCTTGCTTCTGTGGGCAGAACATGCATAGGCTGCACAGACACCCATGCAGGAAAAACAACGGTATACATGTAGTAAAAATAAATAATTTTTTAAAAGTTAAGGACATAATAGCAGGGAAGAGACAAGGTAGAAGGCCCTAGTGGGATTGCTGGGAAGTAGTAGTAGATACATATAATCAAAATATATTGAATAAATGAAACTTTCAAAGAATAAAAACAGTATTTTAAGAAGCACTCGAAATAGGTTCTGCTGCACCCTGAGCCTTATAGTGAGAAGGGTCTTTACCATCTGTAGAAAGACAGCCTCAGTTTTCCTGCAATCTTTTCTCATCTATATATTAGTTATTCCACTCAGTTACTTATTTATTCAGTTGGACAGGGCATGTGCCACTGTGTGTTCATGTGCGGACGGTGGAAAGCTCCCCTTGGTGGGTCTCAGAGATTGAACTCCTGTCCTTTGGCTTGGCAGTACACACTTTCACTTGTGAACATGCATAGTTTTTCATCTGATTTCAATAATTTTTCTCTAATTCTCTTCCTTCCTTCCTTCCTTCCTTCCTTCCTTCCTTCCTTCCTCCCTGCCTTCCTTTCTTTTTTTTTCATTCCTTGAACTTTGATTTGTAATTTTCAAGGGTATTTTTGAGTATGTAAAGGTAAAATTGTTTGGAATTTCAAACTACAAATTACTAGTAATATTTTTAAAGAACTAACTGCCGCCCACCCTTTATTCTTTACCGTAATGAAGACTTTTTTTAAAAAAAAATAGATTATAATTATTCTTGGGAACTTCCTTAGCTAACAACCAAAATTAACAATTATTTGAAAGAAATACTTAAAGTGGAGAACTACAAAATGGGTATGACTATTATAAACCACTTTGTATGAATATAAGTCACACAAATATATCTCGTGTACTCATTGTGTGCTCTTTTCTAAGTTGGATGATTCGAGTTCTCACTTTGTCTCCCACCAGCCCTATGAAAATTTGACTTCTTTTTGTTTAAAGTGAAGTGGGACCTTAAAAATATTCACAAAGTACAATAGTTACTCCTCTGATTAACACCTCTACCTTAGTCAACTTAAAGAAGAGCCAGTTTATTTTGGCTTTTGTTTCTGGGGAGTGAGTCCATCAGAGCAGAGCAGAGGCACAGCAGCAAGCCTCAGAGCAGCCTGCAATGCTGCAAGGCTTTAAACTCTTGAAGCTCACCTCCACTCCTCTAACAAAGTCGCTCCTCCCAAACCTTCCCAACAGTGCCACCAACTGGAGACCAAGAGTGGAAATCAAACTACCACAGGACACAAACTGAGTAGAGATGATAAATTTTTACAGCTCTCTGTGGATTCACAGTTGTCACATGGTTTTGACAGCCATGGTGTCTGTAACTATGCAATGCATTCAACTTGGGTTCTATAGAAATGCCACCTTCATATGTTAGTGTTCATATTTAATTGGTTTATATCACACCTGATTAAGAAATTATAATAACTAATAACTGAAACTAATCAGGGCTTGGAATAACCACGCTGAATCTGATAAACATCAATTCAACCAGTGACATAATGGAGCAGAGAATAAGAGTGGGTGGCCTATGAGACCTGAAGGTTATTCTATCTCTGCCGGGATGTCAGCAGGGAGTACACAGGGTACACGGGGTACACCTTCAAGTCATGGAGTCCATTCATTGGGACTCAGTTAAGGGAACGTCCAATAACAGAGTAGTTCTTCAGCAGCTATGAGCATTAGGATTATCTGGGAGACTTGATAGAGTAAAAATTGCTGAGCCATAACATATAGATTCTGATCCACTGGAATTGAGTAGAACCAGAGAATTTGCTTATATTTGTAGAAGCTTCCAGATGTTGCTAATTATACTACTTTTGGACAGACTTCACAAACTATTGAACCAGGGTTTTGAATGGAATCATGGCCTGCAAGCATCAGTTTACACAAGGAAGAAAACTGTCTTATCCCTATACAAGATCCTTGTATAGGGATAAAACATAGTCAGACATGCCTTTTACTCTTAGTGCTTGCTATTGTGTTAAAAAATTAGTATATGTCTGTATAAAAAAGAGATAATATTGTATTGAATTTTTCTCAGGGGAAGGGGAGGGTGAGGAAGAGGAAAGGGAAGAGAAATAAGAATTGTATTTTAAAGTTGGAGGGATATGTGGTGAGGACTTTTAAAAGTTCTTCATGTTGACTACCACTGTCTTTCTGGAAAATCAGATCAGAGAAATAGTTCATTCAATCTCACATGTTGTGTTCACACCACAAGTTCACAGTCTCCTCCATGAGGAAAAGCCCACGCTACTTCTATGTGTAAGAAAAGTTGATTGGTGATAGCAAACAGCTGCAGGGTGGAAGGCAGAAGTGTGGGTGGGTGTATTGTACGTGTGCTGAAAGGATCTGAAGAAGAGAGACGATCTGATTGTCATGAATCTCCCTTTCAGAACTGGCTGACAGAGCTGGAGATCTTTGCAATAATCTTCTCGGCTGCCATCCACGACTATGAACATACTGGAACTACCAACAATTTCCACATTCAGACACGGTGAGGGTTGAAATATTTGCAAAATAGGCAGGAGGGGCCAGGGATATAATTTTAGATGTCAATGAGGTATGTGCCTGTCATTTTCATTTTATGTGGTTGCTCTATTTTGAATTTAGAAAAGATTAATTTATAAACAAGATATGAGCCTGGGCAGCTTCATTGAATAATACACAGCATTTACAGAAAAAAAAACACACCTGCTATTCTTTCTCATATTTTATTCAGATCTAGAGTGTATCCTCCTTTCTTCACTATGGTAATGTTTACTCATTATTTATGTATGTTCTGTGCCTACCCTACCAGTTTCTAATGGGCCTGGTATGGGTGCATAGAGCCCCAGGGGCCATGTAAATGGCGCCACTAAGCACATTTAATCATTGGAGAGCTTTTGTTATACTAACAATACTGGTGCCTTCTTACCCTCTGGTCTCTGAGCTTCTGAGGCGATACTAGTCTAGTTCTATGCTCTTATCTCTTTCCTTTCCCTGTGGCCTACGGAAGACAATATTTTCTGAGCTGTGGTCAGAGGAGGGAGTAGAAGTAAAGGACTTAAGCTACTCTCTTTAGTCCTCACTGCTTCTCCCCAAGTAGAGTGGCCTGGGCTGCTGGAAGCATATTTTTGTCATCTGTTTCAAGGTCTTTAAATTTAGGCAGATCCTCAGAAGACTGGGGGTAGAAGTTTCACTTGGAGAACAGAGACCACAGTGACTCACACCTGTCTAAGGAAGAGGGGTGGATAGGGCAATTGCTTAGAGACCAAGAACAAATCCAATTAACCCACTGAAAAACCTACAAATCATAGGAGGTAAATAGGAGTCTAATGCCACGAAATAGACATCTATCAATATCTAACTTTGGAATGAAATTAAAACATTGACACTTTGGTCCTCAGTAAAGCTTTGTCCAGTTCACTTGAATACAAGCAATCCCTGTTTAGAAAACTGTGGGCCAGACCCCTTTTCCGTTGATAAAGAAAAATGTTAAGCCTAAAACTTTGAAGGTAAATTAGACTTAGCCCAAGGTTTGGTTAACAGTAGGTAGACCTTATCTTCAGGACTATCAGTCTTGTTGTAAGACATATTGTTACTTCCATTACAGACCTGTGATTTGTTTGTTCTGGGACTCTAAGAAGATACTTCTCATTTATAGGCATGGTGCCCTCTCTGAGAATCAAATGAACTCTGACAATCCAAGCTTTCATTAAACTGGAGATACTAAAATAATGTACAATCCTGGGATTAGGTAACACTCAACTATAGAGTAGTCCTTGAGGATATTTAAAAGCTATATTCTTTCTTTCAACTATCCATCTGTGACATTTCTGTGGAAAAGCAATTTAAGATCAAGTTATGGAGACAACATGCAGATAGTAACCATGAGGTGATGTGTACTCAGAGAATTACAACTAAAATAAATTCACCAGGGGAGTCATTGAATTAAATGTACATTTAAAGATTAAAGCTATTCTAAAAATCCTAAAGAAGTTTAACACACTGACATTTTAAGAAGTCACTTTTAGGACTGGCATAGGTAATTGAGGCCTGGCCATAAAGCAGGTTTCAGCATGTTCAGGCTGGGTGTCACACATGGCACGTCCACATATTGATAGGAAAGTGCCTTGCTTGTATCTACTGATAATGTGTCATGTTAGATTGAGCTTATTGGTGACCCAAGTGGCATGGGGACAAGATCATTTCTAAACACAGGAAAGAGTGACAGCACAGCATAACTTGTCAGAGTCAGTCAAAGGGATCTCAGCTATGTCCCATCCTGAAAGAGTCTGTGTCTCTGTGTACAGGTCAGATCCAGCTATCCTGTACAATGACAGATCTGTACTGGAAAACCACCACCTGAGTGCAGCCTACCGGCTTCTACAGGAAGACGAAGAGATGAACATTCTAGTCAACCTCTCAAAAGATGACTGGAGGTAATATGAGGTGACAGATTCGGAAGCCACTGGGGCAGGGGTTGGGGGAAAATGTGGGCAGATAGGGTGTGCTGTTGCTGAGGAAAGATAACTCACCTCAACTTCAGACTGCTCTCTCACATTAAGTGCCACAAAGCTTGCTAAGTTGTCATTTCACATCTTGATAAAGAGTAGACGTACCACTTCTGGCTTTAGTTTTGTTTTGATATTTTCTTCTGTTGAGTGGATGCAATTTTGTCCAGAAACAATAAGTGATATTGGGTTTCCTTTCTGGTGTGATCTCAGCTTTCTTTAACCTTTCTGTCTCCAGTTGGATCTGAGCAGCTGAACTTCTGCAGCCTAGAATAAGACAGACCTGTTGCCCTTGAAGCACATCCACACACAAACACAGACATTCCTGTTTGTCTTTAACCCTGTGTTATTGGTGATTGAGAATAAATAATAGGACCATCAATAGTATGATTTGCCTAAATCATTTAAATATGGTCTCTGATTAATACATTATAAAACCAAGTGATTCAAACCACATGGGTGAATTAATGTAAACACAGTCAAATTAGTCCCTTGAAAATAGTGAAGTCTATCTGTGTACTCACCATCTATATCTGTGCCTCTTGCCACTGTTATCTCAAAGAAAATAAAATATTAAGGAGACACATGAAGCATCCTGTATTTGAGATATCAGAGCATCTTATTGGAAAATCTTTACATACACACAGTAACTGTGGTAAGCAGAGAAAGAATAGTAAATTCAGGGTAGACATGAGGGCAGAAATAACCATCTCACTAATGGAACCCATAAAATTACAAACAACAGAAAAAATTAACAAGACTAATATCTAGTTCTTTGAAAAGAGCAACAAAATTGGTAAGCATCTAACTTGACTGAGCTAGAATATATATTGCCACTCTCAGATTCTATATATTTTAAATATATAAGAATATATAAGAAAATATGACAATATTATTTAATCATTTTTGACAGTCTTGATTAAAAAGAGAAATATTTTTCAAAATAAACTTTATAAAACCTCACATAAGATAAAACAGATAATTTTAATATTTCTGTATCTATTAAAACAGTTGAGGTTACTGTCAAAAATCTTCACAGGAGGAAACCTCCATCCCTGGATGTTCTCTGTAACAAAGTCTTTCAAAACATAAAGAAGAGATCATCACAATATTATCTGTAAATTATCTGTAAAATATTGAAAGAAGCAATTACTTTATAGTTAATTTCTAATCCAATATAACATAATTTTAAACACATTTATAAAGCTATCACAAAATGAATATTGGGGACTAGTTGACCCCAGTGAACATAAATGCATCAATCCTTGTTAAGTATTAACATTTAAACTAGTGTGATGCAAAAAGCCTGACTTCAGTAGTGTGGCTAATTTTCATCAACTCAACCAGCCACACTGAGCCTTGATGTTCTTTGAAAAGTATTCAAGATTTTTCTATGAGTCTGTTTTTAGTTGAAGCTAACTGATAAGTGAGTAGACCCAGTAAACCAGACTGTCATTCCTAAAAGAAGCGGGCCTTATCCAAGGAGCCGATGGTTAGACTAAACATAATAAAGTCTCACCCTCCCCAAGTCAAGATTAAATTCTCTCCTCATGGGTTCAAATTGAAGCCCTCTTCCTGAATCTTGAGTCTGTTGGCTTTTGACTGAAGTATATCATTGGCCCTAAAGGTCCTTAGCTAGTTGACTGTCCCTGCTGACCCTGGTCTTTTCAACTTTCTTAAATATGTAAGTTAATTCCAGGGCTGAGGATGTAGCTTAATTGGTAGAATTTTTGCTTAGCATCTACGAAGTCCTGGGTTTGATGCTTAATACTGTATGAAATTGAACTTGTAGTACATACCTATAATCTCAGCACTAAGAAACTGGAGACTAGAAGATAAAAATTTCAAGTTTGTCTATCCCTACGTAGAGGTCACAACCAGTCTTGGATAAAGGAATCACTGCCTTACAAACAAACAAACAAATATAAATTTTATAATGAAAATTTTATACACAAACACACACATACACATACACACACACACACACACACACACACATATGTGACATCGGAGAACCCTGACAACTAGGGAGAATTTATTCTGGGACTTCAAAGTTAATTAGCACTCAAAAATAAATTAAAATAATTTACCATATTAAAAGCAAATGAGCAAGCAAAGAAAGCCAAGTATTATTGGTACACACCTGTAATCTCAGCACACAGGAGACTGAGGCAGGAGGACCCTGAGCTAGAATCCAGACTGAGCTATGTCAGGCCAGCAAGAGCCATATAGTAAGATATTCATTTTTTAAAAAGCCATAAGCAAGGAAGCAAACGAAACAAGAAACAAAACTAAAACTAGAAAATAGCTACAAAACAAACAAATAAACAAACAAAAAACAATGTGGTCATTGCAATCGATATATCCCCCAAAATTTAAAAACATCATTACTTATCAGATACAAACTCTCTTCAGATGAGAAACAAAAGAGAGCATATAGCATCTCCAGATGGATACAGGGCAGCTGTGTAAAGCTAACATCAGTTTTCATGGTGAAATGCTAAAGACTTCCCTCTGAAGACTGGGGACAAAATTAGGATGCCTAATCGTATATTAAATTGTATAAAGTGTTTCTGTTAACCAATGAAATCTGACTGCACATAAAATCTTAAGACTATTTTCGCAGCTACTAAAACTGTTAATTGTACAAAGCTACTAAAGATGAAGTTATGTAAAAAAAAATAATAGACTAGCAGCTAGCCATTAGGAAATTACATTTGAGGGCAGGAGACAAAAGATTTCCATCCTGAAGTCAGTATGGAAACATCTAGGAAAACTAACAACAGAACAAGTATATGGTTCATCTCCCCTACTCTTGAATGTACCCTTAAAGAAAGAGATGAGAGTAGCCCTGAGATACCTGCACCTCATCTTTATATCTGACCATGTTCACAAGAGTCATCCTGGACACCCATCTTGTTGGGAAGGGTGGTGAAGGCATCCGTGCCACAGTGCACATGTTCTCTCCTTCCACCACAGGTATCAAACTCAGGTGATTAGACTTGGTGGTGGCAAGTGCCTTCAGCCACTAAGCCATCTTTGTCACCCCCTATTTCAGCTACAAAGAGGAATGAAATTATGGTATTCATAGAAAAATAGGTGAACTTATGAACTGTGTTAAACCCAATAAACCAAACTCAGAAAAGTAGATATTGGACTTTTCTCTTCTCTGCAGAATCTAGATTAAATAAACACACATATGACATAAAGGTAGAATGATATCTCTTTTGAGAGAAGAGAGAGGAGGAACAAGGTGAGAGTATAATCTAAGAGTAGTGATATTCAGGAATACAGGGCCATTCTGAAGCTATCACTTTGTATACTAATTAAAAATCCTTTAGTGTGAAGGTCAGAGGTCAATGTTTGATGTCCTCATCTATAGAACTCTACAGTGCTCCAGCTTTTTCTTTTCTTCTTCTTTTTTTTTAATGTCAATAGCCTTGAACCTGTGGAAGTCACTTATCAGTAGTACTGTTTAAACAGAAAGTCTTGGGGGTCCTCTTGTGCCGATCCCTCTTCCCTCGGTGCTACGTTACAAACGTGTCTTGTTATACCCAGCACACAGTTCTTCATGCTTGCCTTGCAAGCACTGAACCACTGAGAAACCTCTCCATATTCTTTACCACTTGATTCTTGACAAAGGTATCGAGACAATTCAATGACGAAAGGAAAGTATTTTCAGCAAGTGGTGTTAAGACAAGTAAGTGGGTATCTATAGAAAACGGTAACTTTGAATCTTACCTCAAACCATACTCAAAAATCAACTCAAACTTTCTCATAAAACAGCACAAAATCTAGGTAGGCTGAAATAGCTCAACTGGGAAAGTTTCAGACTGAAGAATAGAACATAGAATGTGAAACGGCTCCTTGGTTCAGAATGCAGCCTAGTGGTAGACATCCTGGGTTTGTTCCCAGCATGGTGGTAACGGTGGTCATGGCAAGACTATTAGAGCAAGGCACAGCAATACCGTTAGGACATGTGGTGTTCTTAGAACGCCAAAAGTGAGAAGGAATGTTTAAAACTAATAAATTTAACTTAACGAAAGTTAAACTGTTTGGAATTGATATATCTGATGTAATTAACTTCTTTGGAACTGGTGTAAACTATGAAACTGGAGTAGTGTAGATACTGTGCATATTCTATTGCGGTTCGTATCCAGAAGCATAACACACCTTGACAACTCAGAAATAAGAATTTTTAAAGTAAAAACCTTCTTTTAAAAGTAAAAATAATCGAAACGCAGCTTCCTGAAAATTGGTATTCAAATTGTAGAAGTACATAAGAGATATTCACTGATAGTATTTGTCCAAACATTATGCAAATTAAAATCACAAGGAGACACCACTGCAGACACAGTAGATGACGAGAGTTAAAAGCTAACAGAAGACAAGGAAAAAAAATACCTAGAACTTTAACACACTTGTCAAACATGTGATGTCAAACAATCATTCTGCAAAGGATTGGCAGATTGTTATACAGTGAAATGCTCAGGAGCCCAACATAGGAGCCACTACACTTCTGGATATCTGCTCTAAAGCACTGATACCATGTAACTATAGAGATGAGTACACAGGTATTCAGAGAAGATTTACTGTGCTCATTCTGAACTCGTGTGGAATGAACCAAACACCCATCAGCTGCTAAATGGATGTCATCTGAGAAGCGAACCCTTTAATTCACTTTTCGGCACCACTGGAACTTTCCCTGTAGGTTAATTCTCCAAATGACAGCTGTATCATATTCTGTTGTAAACATTTATTTTATTTGTAAATATGTGTGTGTGCGCGCGCGCGCGTGCGCACGTGTGCACAAACTTGAGTGGAAGTAGGCAAGAAAGTGACCTAACTGATGTGGGTGCTTAGAATCAAACTCAGGACCTCTGCAAGAGTATCGAATGCTCTTAACCACCGAACAAGCTCTCTGTCCCCCTTGTATCATATTCCCTCTCTTCCTTCCTTCCTTCCTTCCTTCCTTCCTTCCTTCCTTCCTTCCTTCCTTCCTTTCTTTCTTTCTTTCTTTCTTTCTTTCTTTCTTTCTTTCTTTCTTTCTATGAGTACTCTGTCTCTGTGTTTAGACACACCAGAGGGGCATCAGATCCCATTACAGATGGTTGTAAGCCCCCATGTGGTTGCTGGAATTGAACTCAGGACCTCTAGAAGAACAGTTAGTGCTCTTAACCTCAGAGCAATCTCTCTAGGCCCTCTGTATCATATTCTTAATAAATTATTCTTTAGTCCTTACCACTGCAAAGACTGACATTAGATTTAGAATGTCTGAAACAATTAACTGATTTTGACCAAATGCTGAAATAACTAACTTGGATGTTCCTTTTCTTTGCTTTCATGCCTTTTCTCCACCGGTGTCCCCAAAAGGGAGTTCCGAACTTTGGTAATTGAGATGGTAATGGCCACAGATATGTCCTGTCATTTCCAGCAAATCAAAGCCATGAAGACAGCCCTGCAGCAACCAGAAGCGTGAGTTGTCTGTGACATCATGTTCTCATAGGACTTTGAACTCAAATCTGCACAGTTTGTATGTAGAAAACAAATCATCTTCAGGATAATGATTGGGTTATCTCAGAAAGCATTTAACTGTATAAAGATGCTAAGTGTAGAGATAACTAAAGAAAGTATTGCTTAGATTTCTTTTGTCTGGTTGGAAAATGCTAGTATTTTGTAAATTAAATGAGAAGTGCCTTATTCAGTAAATGGTGAAATGTTCATTCACTAACATGGTGGCAGTCCTTAGAAGCAAAGAGTTGTTTCCTCAATTCAGTGTCAATTGATTTGATGAGGGCAAACAGAGGAGACTTTAAAGATGTTTGAACTCCAGTGCTTGAAGTGTGTGGTCACCATGTGCTTGCCTGTGTTTGGATTGCAGAATTGAAAAGCCAAAAGCCTTATCCCTCATGCTGCACACAGCCGACATCAGCCATCCTGCGAAAGCATGGGACTTACACCACCGTTGGACCATGTCTCTCCTGGAGGAGTTCTTTAGACAGGTACCTTGTCTCTTGCTGATTATCATGGCTGGGAATCAAATATTTTGGCACCTCTCTAGCAAGGACCATAGAGGACATCGTTATTTTGGGGGGAGGGGAGATGAGCCTTCTCATAGTTGTTTTATTTCTGTATATGTAATGTTCAAATTTTAGCTAATCTCTGATTCTCAAGACATCGTGAAATGCATTCTGTCTTAGGCCTTTCTGCTTAGAGAAAGAAAAGTGTTTCCTTCTGGTAGTCTCTTGACTAAGTGTCATTTAAAACCTTTTCCTCCCTCCCCCCTTTTTGGCCTAATGAGTTATCAAAAAAGTTACTTTGACTTATGTCTCCCCCACCCTCAGTGGTGGGGTGGGTTGTCTCTTTTGGTGGATGAGCCATGATACATGATACAATGTTTCAAAATAAAGATGTGGCAAATTGGAGTCAAGAAATCACTAGGAATTATTTATTGTTCCAGTGTATTTAAATGTAGCCGCACCTTCAATCCGGAGTCACGTAATCTCTAAGAACAGACAGTCTTTAATGAGCATGCATTGCTTTAAGACAAATGCAAATGTGTACATATAACAGAATAAAAGAACTAAGACAACTGCACGGAACCAAGACAGAGGTCTTCAGGCTTAGGGTTAGTTCTCCAGTGTGACACAGATGCTGGTCTCCCCTTGACAAGAGCTGCTAGCTACACAGACACCTGCTTTAAGACGTGAGACCCCGGGTCAGTCCATGAAATGTAGACTACAGACTTAAGTCACTGTTAGTTCATGTTGGTAAATGAACTCAGCTAATTCTTGTTCATTCACAAAGAGGAGGACACAGTATGGGTTTTAAGGAGCCGAACCCCCATAAATCAGTACTCACTATCATACCTCACCATTGTTCTCTCAGCTGACTCAGGATAGGCTCTTTCTCTGAGCCTTAGTTCATTATCGGCTGCTATACTACCATACCTGAGGTGGGATAATTTATAAAGAATAGCGATTTGTTTAGATCATGGCTTTAGAACCTAGAAACCCATTAGCCTGCATCAGCACCTGAAGCAGCTCCTCGTTGCATTATGACAGGGTAGGAGCATCACAGGGCAAATGTTCTAGCTCTGGTCTTTCTACTTTAAAGTTACTGACACCTTCAAGGGGTATTAACTAATGTAATCATGAGTGAGCCACTCCCATGATCTTATCCATTTTATTCCCCCAAAGGCTTTGCCTCTAAATACTATTAACATATGTAACTTTGAGGATTACGTCTCCACCATGTTAACTGTGGAACACCCTAGTTAGCCTGGACTTTGGACATAAAATTATGCTGACACTCTTACTTGTATGACTCGTGCTTGAATGGGAAAATAACAGCACAGTAATATATATATATATATATATTGAAATTGTAGACACTGTCTGGCAGTAAGTAGGACTGGAGTTAACAGTCACAACGCCATGAAACTGTCCACTGGAGATTTGGTTCCGAGTGGTTCGCTGCCTGGGACTAATATCATTCTTCTGATTCTTTTGTCTTATGTATTGTATGTGATTTGGGGGGGGGAATAGAAGAGATTTGGAGTAGGTTTGGATGAATATTCATAAGAACCTTTAAGCATCAACTATCCTGTGTTCTTTTCAGTGTGTCCATGGGTGCCCATCCACATATGCACACCCACCTTTACCCTAAGCATATACACCCTGTCCTTATGTGGGAAGGCTGCTTCTCTCAGTCATTCTGTGGTCTCCAGAGTAATTCCCAGGTTCTATGATGTGGAGTGAAGTGAGGAGTGGTCATGGGGAGCCTGAGAGACACAGGTGTGACCCTGCTGTGTGTACAAGGACAATCAACTACAAATTCATCCTTTGCTGAGGGTTCTTCTCTAAATATTCACCTCCCCTTTTTCATGTTCCCTTTGATATAGTTTTGTGACAATATTCTATCATGCTAGCAGTATTTAGTCTGTGGCCAATGGGTAAATCATGGCTAACTCACATGAGTTTGACATATTGAAGTGATTCCCTTTTGAATTATGAGAGTATGTGAATTCATTAATACATGAACATTATTTCCTCACTATAAAGAAAATCTTGTTTCCTTGCATACACCCATACCCTTGAGTGCATTGAAAATGTGCTAGAGACAGTGTGGAAATAACCATATTGAATTTCCTGGCCTATTGAAGGTGGAGTGTTAACTCACTGGACTGGAACTGGGTTTCATGAATATAACTCTAAAGTATTTTTTTACTGACTTAACCCAGATGCCAAAGTGTAGCAGGAAACCCACAAAGCAGTGCTCACCCAGATCTTAATGATAGCTGTAAAATTGGACAGTTCACATGTGAAAACTCAATGGGACTAGAGAGCCTTTAAAAATGTATTCAGAAAGTTGGGCTGTATTTCAAAATAACAGGATAGCCCTTGTGGACATGGTCCAGGCATTCTTGCTCTTCTTCCGTCTTTAGCTTCATAACCATGTTTTACAAAATCTACACCATAGCCACAGGAGCTCTTAAGTAAAACACTGACTTTGAAGAAGTACGTTTGTGTAGCTGCCGTTTCTTTTGTAACGGCCGTCGGGTTCTGCTACTTTG